TATCCCTACAAACCACTAGCTCAGCCTAATTCTCAGTCCTGCTATTTGGGTATCCCCTGGAACAAGTTTCGCCTATTTAGTGGATTACCATTCTCTTAAAACTACGGTTTGCAAATAGCATTTTCCTTAGAAAAGCAATTCCACTGAAATCAGTGGAGCTATTGTTCCTGGCAGAATACACTTAGATTTTCTGATAGATCAGATCCTTAATTAGCATATCAAAATTACGCTATTCATTTTCATTTCAATGTTCAATGAGTTTACTAACTCTTCACTTGATTTTAGGATAATAATTAATATTTTCACTCTACACCTATATTCTAGGGGGTTTTTTTGTTTTGGTTTGGTTTTTATTCTAGTTTATACGTCATGGTATTTGAAAACTTACAGAAAACACAGATCTATTTTTGGATGAAGTAAAAAGCCTCTCTTTCCTTTCTTGTTACAACTTCAGTGATAACTTAGGAAGCTTCCTCCCATTATCTACCAAAGATTATGAACACACTGGAACAAACTTGGTACCTGGCTGTTTAGATGGTATCCATGACTCAAGGTCACTATGGCACACAAAGAAACAAATCAATTTAAACAGATGTCTAAAGCTGATTTTACTAGTTTTGAAAAAGTGAAAAAAGTGAGATTTTCTGCTTCTCTATTTATGTATTTTCAAGGTTTATACTAGGTTGGTCTGAAAGAAATAAGAGTAAAGGAGATCTTCTCCATCATCAAATCTAGAGACTCCATGATGTGATGTTTGCTAATCACAAGACAAGCCAGGTTCAAGAAGCTAAAGTAGTCACTGGTCATTTTCTTTCCTATTATGACAGAAGAAATAAAGGGAGATATAAAAATCTCTTCAGCATTCAAAATACTAAGAAGTTTCTGGAGAGCTGATGCTGTCTATATAAAGCTAGCAAACACTGCAGCTCTCAAAATGTTTTCTTTAAAACTCTTTATGGCATAAATAAAGAAACAAAACTGATGAACAGATTTTCTGAAAATTAAGTAAACAAAACAATACCAGTCTGATGCCCCAACCTCTCAGAAAAGTATACTTCTAATAGACCACATAAGACAGAACAAAAATAGAATCAACAGCAATTGGTTCAATAAAATTGAACTAACTGGATTCAAAAACGGCCTGTGCATCAGTATTAGATTATCTGTTTTATAATGCAAGCACATACCACACCCATGAAAAGTGAAGGTTATGCACATCTTCTATTATCTTTCTATATATTCTATTTATTTTCACACTCCAGAAATACTTCCTATCTATGTTATTAGGCATCTATTAAGAAGGTAGAATAAGCTAAACAAAGATTTGGTAATTCTAAGCCAAAACCAGAGACATTTTGTATTACAGTAATTACTAGGCAAAAACAATAGGTGCAGCACAAAATCTGCCTTATATACTTAGTAAGTACAAGCATAATAATCACAAGTATGTTCAATATTAAACCTTCTTATGTTTTTTCCAAACAACATGCTCTTCTTGCTCTCCTCCTGCCATCTCGGAAACCCAGTGGAGTGATTAGAAAAAGTACTGACACTGTGCTGAACATGGGAACTCTTTACATGATAAACTGAGCAAAGGTACAAAGTTAAATAAACTCACCATTTCAGTGGTGTACCTTCATATTCGAACCAAATTTCACTAACTTCCTCTTGTCTCATAACTTTCTGAAAGTGTTTCTTCACTTTGTCTGTTACCAATGTCAAGTAGCTTATCCTTGGCAAAAGCAACTGAAATAAAAAAATATTATAGAAGCTTTAAGTATAAATACAGTTTTCTAAATTAACAAAAAAATCTATAAAAAGTATGCATATTCATAATAAAATTTCAGTTGACATTCTCCCCCCTAGTTTAAGGTAAGATGTCTTTTAGCCAGTTTACTTACTAATGGTCAATGAAAGGCTATGAAATTATGTACTCAGAAGATGGAGAACAGCAGCATCCCATACACTAACACAAAAGACATAAAAACAAATAAGTTTTCTATTCCTTCAATGTGGTGGGAGGGAGAAGAGTGGAATTTAATTCACACTTTTCTATAGCCAAAGAATGAAGCTTTTAACTTTTTTCATATAAACAGATAGGAACATGTTCTAACTTCTATATAACTTGAATATAATGAGCAACTGTGTACCAGCTATTATTTCAAAATGGAAATTCTTACAAAGGGTGGGTTTGGGGTTGGCTTTTTTTTTTTTGTTTTGTTGGTTTTGGTTGTTTTTTTTTTGGGGGGGGGGTGGTTGTTGTTGTTGTTTGTTTTGTTTTGTTTTTTTTAAGAAAACTAGCTGCTTACAAGTTTGGTTTCCAAGAACGTTTTGTATTTCCAATAGCTGGCAATTTCCATTGTCTTTGCACTGGGTTTGCCAATTCAACACATTAGTCGAGACTACTATGATTCTTTCACTATTTAACTTTTGCCTACCTACTGAAATCAGAAATAAAACTATCAATATTTTATCTGTTGAAACAGATACCTTCTTATAGCTTTCTGGCATGCATTTTTTTCCCCTCAAGTGTAATGTTATGCACTATCCCAAACAGAATGCTGTGTTATTTTTATTTGCAACCAACTCCACCTTTTTTTTTTAAAAAAAAAAGAAAAAGCTTCATGACTGGTTAAGTAGACTGCATCAATTACAATGAGCAAAGATTAACCTCCCTGTAAAATAACTTTTAGCTTTGGAATAGCCATTTTAAATTAATGCTATTCACGCTGTAGAGTTATTTTCATTTCCTAATTGTTAATTAAATAGATTGGTCTAAGGAATACACAGAAATAAATTATATTTTGCATATTTAAAGAAAGATAAATTTTTTTCTCCATTCTTCATAACCAGTGTTGTTTTTTAAAGTATTTTCTTTAGAGTATTATGGATAATGCTAGGCCATAGGCAAATGTCATGGTACAGATATTCCAAACTATGTAAAGATATATTTTGCCTTCCAGAAAACTCGATCTCTGCTGAAACATTCTTCCAGAATCTCTCCAACAATTAGACCACATTTTGATATATACATTAGATAATATTTTCACCACAATACTAGAATATTTATAAATATCAGAAGAAGTATGGAGAGTAAATCAAGAGTAAGTTCTTATGAAAGAGAATGGGTTTATCTTTCAGATAACGTTGCATTAGATTACTAATCGGCATGCATCTGTGAAACAACCAAATTTTAGGATTATATAAAACTACAAAAGATGAAGACTCGCCACTATCACAGTCATCAAGTCAGTTAACACTTGATAACTTATGTACCATATAGCTTTATTTTTCCACTATCATTTATTTTCTACTCTCTTTGACAGGATGAGAGAGCTAAGCTTGTTCAGCCTGGAAAAGAAAAGACTCAGGGCTGAGACCTTATAGCAGCTTCCAGTACCTAAGGGGGGCCTACAAGAAGTCTGGAAAGGGACTTTTTATAAGGGCATGTAGTAACAGGACAAGGGCTGAATGGCTTTAAGCTGAAAGAGGGGAGATACAGGTACTGGGAAAAAATTCTTCACTATGAGAGTGGTGAGGCAGTGGCACAGGTTGCCCAGAGAAGCTGTGGCTGCCCCATCCCTGGCAGTGTTCAAGGCCAGGTTGGACAGGGCTTGGAGCAACTTGCTCTAGTGGAAGGTGTCCCTGCCTGTGGCAGGGGCATTGGAACCAGAGCACCTTTAAGGTCCCTTCAGCCCAAACCATTTCAGCAAGGTAATTAAACATAGTCTTCATTGAATTTGAGATCGTTCACGTTTTAAAACTGAAGTCATGTACACACTCAAGTGAGAATTGTTTGGTACCTCTATGACTTGAATGACAATAAAATCTTATCCTTTATTAACCTAATTCCACATATCTACACTGAGTGCTCTAGAGACATCATAGTGTAGCCTATTCTGATCAAATCCAAATATTTTTTTGTAATAACTCCATATTATTTCTGTTTGATATTTAATTTACAGTTAAATTAATTCAGGTATATTCTGATATGAGACCTGTCTGGACTGCCTCAAAAGCCAATTTTTAGCATGGGGCACATCCAAGCAGGATTTGATAAATGTATTAAAGCATTATTGATTGCAACAGTGTTTGACATAACCCTTTAAACTGCATAGCTAACTTCCTCTGTAAAATATTTTACTACAGTTTGCAGTGTAGAACAATAATGCAGTTTCTATTTTAACACAATTAGAGATCACAGACAATAACCAAGCAGCACTTAACGGAATTTAACAGAGTATGGCCAGCACTCCCAGTGGGACTCCTTGGAGCACAAAACCTAACAGTTAATCAGGTTAATGGAGACTGCCTGTTTTTACGAGATGCTGAGCATTTGCAGCACCTACTGAAATCTTTTTGGTCTTCCCCCTCAATTGAAGACATGAAAGGATCCAATTCTATTACTTTCCTAGCTTTAATTATTCAGTGAAAGCCACCAGTTGACACAAAACATTTTTACTCCAAAAAGTCTGTAATTTTTAAATGCTACTACTGAGTATTTCCAGAAAAAAGGTAACTAAAATATTTAAGGGGAAAAAAAAAACAAACCCTCCAAAAAAACAAACTCAGCCTTAATGCATTTAATTATATGCTGGACTTCAGTCATTCTTTTCAACAGCACAGTCACATTGCTTTAGAGGCCTCTATATGAAAACTCGAATTTTACACAGCAGTTTGCCTTCTCGACTGTTAGACACTCACAACTTCTCCAACACTTCAGCCATATGGCAAGGAGCCTTCCTTTTAAGCAAAGCAGCGTTCACCAGAATGACACCTCTCCCACAGACACTTTTGCTACTAACTCCTAAAGCAGTCCATGCAGGCCAACATTACAACGTTTGTTACACCTGACAAATCTCAGCCAATGAGTACTCTGCTTCCCATACACATTTTATTTATAACTCGTTTGCACAAAGAGGCAGACAGTACACCACTTTAAAACACAAATCTTAACAATTTTAGGACTAGGGAAATATCACATAGTTCAGCAACAAAGGCAGTTCAACCTAGCTGTTCCTAATTTTGCTTCCACTCCAAACACAAGCATTTGTACGAAGGACTTCAAAGAAACTTGACATATGCATTTCCAGTGTTAACTCTGCAGAAACCTACCTGGCTTGACTACAGGAAGAAATAGGACAGTATGTCACCTGAGCTACTTAGTCTTGATGTCACTACTTTTTCCAAAAGATAGACAAGCTGATTTTAAATGAGCTCTGGTACCCCACGCAGTGCCGTAACATGATCACTCCTGTGCTGTGCTAATACACCTAACAGGCAAGGATCTCCTGTCACACCACACACACCAAACTGAAATCCATCACATGGATTCTGGGTTGTTTCCCTAATTCCCTAACCCTTCACTTTCAAAGTCTACATTTTCTTCCATCTTCATAAAGCAAGTTCCTCGGAGCTGAAGTTTTTTTCTCCTCTTAACATGATTATGACAGTATTTTCTTCCCATGCAGCCTTCCCATTTATGGAATGCAGTCTGGAATACAGAGGTTATATCTGTACTAACGAGTACTGAAGAGTGGTAAAAGGAGACATGCAAGGCTGAGCAGTTGGTGTCAAGGGCTAGGAATGTTCACTATATCTACTTTTTTTACTTCAGTTTTAGGGGGTTTGATGTTTTTTTTACGTCAATTTACCTCCAGTTTGATGCCATACACTAAATGCCCATCAGCAGCGGAAGCACTTCTGCTTCAGCTTCACAGGAAAATGATTCAGCTTGTGGGCTATAAGACTGCTGTGTGATGCAAACCTGGGCCACACCAAGTGGAAAGGATGAAGACTTGCATCAAAAAAGCACTCCAGATCTGAACAAAAACATTAATGCAGATGCACTCTGAAACCATGAGAACAAAACCACAATTTAAAACTTTGATTGCTATTCTATCTTTTACTATTATAAATCCTTGGTCCCTTTCAAGAAGCTGTATTATCAGCTCCAACATCACCTGAGAAAGGCAGAAGTCGCAATTTTAGAACTGTGATCTGTGAATAACCAGATGTTGCAGCAATAGAGAATTAAACAGATCAAGACTGCACGTCTCTATACTTAAAACACATACCTTTCATGTAGCTCTTATACAACATACACATATATTAACTCATATATATATATATATATATATAAAATTTGAAGTCTGAGACTTCTAGATAGCTCAGATACATTTGGCAATAGGACAACCATATGAAGTAAAAGTGCTTCTGTTTTTACCAGTGGTGAAACTGAAACCTAGAATGATGAGCTCTATTATCACTGAACAAAAACCATTAATGGTTTATTATGTTTCAAAAACTCACTGAATGCATATAAATCAGAAACTGGTGACATAAAGATGCTATCAAACACAGAAAAAATATTTCCACTCAGTAATACTTTCAAAAGGAGTAGAACAGGCTATGACAAGACTTAAGGACTTCAGAATCACATAAAAAAAAAATAGTACAAGATTTTCCTCCCACATCCTTGTTACATTTCAAATTCAAGTTTCACTGAATTAGCTAACATTATCAATCAAGTATCTATTAGGTGCTGAAAATGAAAACTGCTGAGTACGCTATAAATACACCATGTGATTATAGAAGGCACTTCTGGTTTACAAATCAAATGCATCACTGACCCTCATTTTTATCATCAGCTAGCAATCCAGTTCAGGCACTGTACTGTTAAGATACTATAGCTGCTTTTCCTGCATCTGAGCTAGGTCTCTCATGGCTGTTAGCATTTAAAGAAAACAAGCAGAAGTCATCCATGAACAGAAATAGCGGAGCAAGTGTTCGTTACAAGTCTGTGTTACACAAGCAACAGACCTAAGTTTTAAAGACTGCACAAAGCCCTGACTGAAGTTATTTCTGCAGTATAGTAACATAACCCTTCTTCTGACCATAATCCAAGATCATACAAACTCAGATAAAACCCCTCCTTTCACTTAATTACTCGCCTACTTAATTTTCATATTTATTTAAGATCTTAATTATCTGTGATAAGTTTCTCTCACTAGTGAAAGAAACTTAAAAGTCTTGAACCTGCTGTGAAGAAAAATGAATCAGGCAGCATGTTCATACAGTTTACTTTCAGAAGACACCAGAAATAAGAATAAAAAAGTTGTTGGTTTGGTTTTTTGTTGGCTTTTTTTTTTGGGAGGGTGGGGTTCACAACATACAGTAGCACAATATTGCTACATGAGGAGAATGAAGGGAAGAAACATAGCTGTGGCACTGGACCTATCTGTGACCACCGTTGTTATACTCACATAGTAAGGTTCAGCTTCCCTTTCAGTTATTTCGTCCTGATACAGAGTGAAACAGGTGGGTATTCGTCCAAACCACACATCTCGAAGCACATCTTTGTCATCTGTCATTCTTCCAACGAATAGTGAAGCACATGTAGATCAGTTTGTTTCTTCAGCTAGAACTGTCACCCCATTCCCCCAAAAAGAAACAAGTCAGCACAGCTGCAAATGAAATACAGCTTGTTAAAGGTTCTCCCATAAATGCACTCCTGCAAGCACGATCGAGGCTGTCACCTAACCCTTAAATGCAGTTTTCCACAAAGGACGCGATGAGTTGGGGCCTCCAAGTTAACACTTTCCCAACTAGGAATACACGGTGGATGACAAGTAAATGTGCATTTTATAAGCGTGCATCACGCCCCAAACGAGGGGGCAAACGGACCGTCCCCGTCACCACTCCACAGCCACCCTGCAGCCCCCGCACCCCGGGGGTAGCCCCGGGCCCACGGGCACC